TTTAAATCTAATTTTTAACACGCTTTTATTAGCTTCACCTGTATATATGTATGTATGTATGGATTAAAAGCAAGTGACTTATTACTGTCAGTATATCCCACTTCCTCAAGTTCGTTCGTTGGCCGAGCGGTCTAAGGCGCGGGTCTTCGCTCACGTCGACTCACCGATCGTGGGTTCTAATCCCGTCCACGGCTGAAAAAAATAATTGTTTTTTTTTCGGCAATTTTTTTTAAGAATTATTCGAACTAAAAAGTAAAAATTAAATATAGTTTAAAAAAACTAAAAAAACACGCTTTTATAATACATCGAACTAAAAAGTGAAAAATAGTTAAAAAAACTAAAAAACACGCTTTTTAGAGCATATCAAACTAAAAAGTTAAAAATTAACACGCTTTTATTCAATAAGCTTAAAACAGTAATAAATGGAAAATACTAGTATTATTGTGAAAAAAGCGTGGGGCGCTTTGTCCATATTTCTCGTACCTACATCGAACGCCCGACGCTTTATTCACAATAATAGTAGTATTTTCCATTTATTATTGTTTTAAGCTTATTTGAATAAAAGCGTGTTAAAAAAAAATATTTTTAACTTTTTAGTTTGATATGCTCTATAAGCGTGTTTTTTAGTTTTTTTAAACTATATTTTTTGAAGCTTCATATAAATGTACTAAACTAAACATGATTAACTTGCTGAAGTACATAAATATAATTTAAACATAAAACACAACAGTAATTTAAGATACAAGTATGGCAAGTGACTTATTACAGAAAGGTTTTTTCAGTAGAATATTTCAAATATATGAATTTACAAAAAATAGTCTAAAAAGTAGTAGTACTACTACTGGGAGCATATCATCATCTGAATTAGGGCGTGGTTCAAAGCCCACTTGTACTGAAGCTCTAGGCTTATTGTACCCCCTTGAGTTCGCTTCTGCTAAGGTTTAGCAGTTGATGTTGTCTGCTCGTGGATGGACCCTCTATGAATCTTTTAGACTGTCTAAGTCCAGAAAGTTCCATCCAGAGCCTATGGTGTTCTCTTTTTATTTGTTCCTTTAACACCCATTTAACATGTTGGTATGAGATACCACATGTGGGTTCTGGTCCAATATGAGTTTTTTCCGCTCCCTTCCTTGCTAGGAGGTCTGCTTTCTCGTTTCCAAACACTCCCTCATGTCCTGGCACCCATTCAAGGGTAACCTTGTTATGTTCTGCCAGAGCCTGGAGGGATTGTTGGCAATCATATATTAATTTAAATTGTACTTCTACCCTTTTTAGTGCTTTAAGAGTTACCTGACTGTCTGTCATGATAACGATTCTCTTATCTCTAAGAGAGTCATTTAGCATGACTTTGGCGCAGGCATTTGTTGCTGTTACTTCAGCCTGGAAGACTGTTGTCAGTGACCCCAGGTTCAAACTAATTGTCCTCCCTGAGTTCACATGGTAGATCCCAGCTCCTGTGATGTTTTCATTTTTACTGGGAGCATAAGAATAAGCACTAGGGAGTAATAAATGAAATAATTTGAATTAAATTTCGATGAAATTTTGTTTATTTTTACAATGATTATAATATTCTATAGCTTCGCATTGGACATGTATAGCTACCATACCATCTTCATCACCAATGGACAAATTAATAGAAGCTTGTCCGCTACCGTCAACATTAACAGATTTTCCAGTACAAGATCCATTTCTAAGTTTCCAGAAATGATATCGCAATAAGTACCAGCAGGCAAAGAAGTCTGCAAGTTTTGGTTGATGTCTCATTTAGAGTAAATGCAATGAAACCTTTGTCTCCCCTTCCAAAAGAGATTTGTTGATCGCCATTATCCCACCAGTTGGAGATTTGGGTACCTGCAACAGCATTCCTAAACCCAACCATATTGGAGATTTGCCTCCATCTGTGTTCGCAGACCCAACCGTTAGTGCAAGAACCATCGTCGTTAAATCCAGGTCCATATCCTGGTGGACCTGTATCTGCGTCATCAAAGGCAAAGCTGGACATAATCCTAGTAGTTCCATAAGGATGTGCTAACATAAATGCAATAGCCATTTTGTACGGTCTTGGATTTTTGTAGGTAAGAATCGCACTAGATCCATGTCGTTGATTGTCATGGTTGTCAATGAAAGCTACTGCGTCAAAGCCTTCGAGTAGATCCCACTCCGGGCCCCAAGTTTTCAGAAAATGAATTGGATTGTTACCCTGAAAAGCATTACCCAATTCTGTGCCAATTTGAATTCTAAAACGGTTCCAAAGCTGTTATATTCTGTCTTTCTTTTACTCCTTCTCCACCTAGAAACACAATATCAATTTTTATATTTTGTTTAGCTATTATAATAAATAGTTTTTTATGGAATTTGCTTCGCCTATATTGCACTTACCCATATCAATGACTTCTTGATAATAGAATGGTCCTTCCACCAACAGAAACATCCTTGACGGAACCGTAAATCGCTTGGAGATCTGCCGGCCACATATGCTTAGCTGCATCTATTCTAAATCCTGTTACGCCCAGATCTACCAAATGGTTCAAATATTCAATGATTTTTCCACGTACGTATTCCGAGCCCTATAATAAAAATAAAGTGTTCAAATTTTATTAGTACGCTAATTGAGTCTAGAGCTTGGCAAAAAGTGATTCAGCAATATAGAAAAAACATGGGTAATCCCAGGAAAGCAAATTAACTTTGGAAAACATCAATCAATTCGTTAATTGGTAAAGTGATCAATTATATACTGCCAGAATTCCACCAGGTACAAAAATAAGTATCTTGTACCATATCTATACATCCACATATATATTAAAAGTTTTATTGGTGAAATAGCAAGAATGCCGTGTGGCTCGAACTAGCACATCAAACTTCTTTAGAAGAATCTCGAAAGTTGCTCTCGTAGATGGTCTAATAGAAGGGGCATGATTATATAGAAAACAATGATGTCTGGGTTCGATCTCCGGGCTGTGGCAGGATTTATTTCAAATCTTCAAGTATTTGTTTTTACTTTTGAGGTTCGGGGATGGTCTTAATAATTCGCAGGTGGATTTTTGAGATTTATTACTGAATTTTCAAAATATTCACAAAATAATGTAACTTTCGATGATGAAATAAGTTTAAATTACGTAATAAAAAGAGGAAAGCAGGAAGAACTGTACAATAAATGGATTTAATTACGTCGAAGTAGAGAGGGATAAAAATAAATCCTAGGTTCGTTCGATCTCTCGTGAAATGCAAAAATATAAAAAAATATATGTAACTAAAGACAAATTATCAACGAATGATCTAACCAACAAATAATGTTGATAATGATCTAATTAATGTTTCTTACTTGATCTAAGTCTGGAAGACCGTCAAGCCAGCAGTTTCTGATATTGTTGGGATCTTGATAGTTGTTAACGTCACACCTGCTATGGAAATCTCCAGGACCAAATGGTACAGCTGGAAATTGCAAGTTTTCAACATCTGCTGAGTTTCCAGCAGTACCACCTCCTGAAGTAGCTGACATTTGATTAAATACAGCATCCACATAGATTCTAAAAAAATATATATTATCTTACATTTTTACATCTTAATACCTAACAAGAAAAATTATACAGGGTATAATAAAAAGATGTACAGTAAATTTCACCACAATTTCTGCGGTCGCACAAAAGCTGATTCAGCTAAAGCCTTGGTTTCTTTGAACACTTCGTCGCGGTGAGCGGACAGTCCGTCAACCGTCGCGTTTTGACGATTTTATCCAACCAGAATATTTAAATGGGAATGGTTTTCTTGAATCCGCTTAGCTGAGCAGGACGGCGTCATGCCGCTGATTTGTCACGAAGAGTTGGTTGATATCTGTTGAGTTTGATATCAGCGGAATCGTCGGCGTGTGCGGAGACTATATTGTTATTAATTTTAAAACAATGAGTGACAAATTCACACATACAGATCACATCATGACTTTATTTTTAGGTTTCTTGGAAATTATGTCCTTTATAAAACTCAACACGAATTTAAAAAAATCTGTAGAAAGTCTAAAATACTCCCTAAATTTGGTTTCATTTCCAAAAAGCCTCCGCTGCACAGTGATATTAAAGGCACCTTCTGTATCGCGACACAAAAACAACTCATCCACTGGCTTATTGGAAACTTTGACGGTTGCAATTGCCAGTTCCTCTTGTTCTTCCTCTTCCAACAATAATAACAACGCAAACAATTTATTTGCATCCATTTTAGTACCTTTCGTTTACATTCATAATACATAAACAGCACGTACATATATAGAGAAAGTATCACTTTCTATATTTTCTAACAAACCACCTCGGGCGAAAATTGCTGTCCTCAGCGGTCGACGGACTGTCCGCTCACCGCGACGGTGTGTTCAAAGAAACCAAGGCTTAACTTGGTTACATAAAAAATGGATAGTAAAAAAGTTGCAAGGTTTTAAAGTAGAAAGTTTAGAAGTGATGTTTGGCCTCGTTTTATGTTTTTACTCTAAAACGGCTTTACATATCTTTATAAAAATGTACATGGAATGTTAGTATATAGTGAGCAATAAAATGGAGTTAGTGAAGTTTAAAATTGTTTTAATTCTATTGTTTTGTAGAAAAGTTGCGCAGCCCTTTGTTCCGCTACTTTTTTAGACAATGAAATTCAGTTTGAAACAGGAGCTCACTAAAATTTTACTTCTGTTTTAAATTTTTTTGGTCTATTAGTATTTCTTTGTAAAAGCCTAAATTACTAAGGTGAAGGCCGCTGACGGAAAGTCATCGTGAAAAATGCAATGAAATTTCTCTAATAAACAATGAATATTTATTTGTTCATGATTTTTTACTATTTTACAACTTCATTTACAATTAGCCCCTTGTGTTATCGATCATCCAAGAAAATATAAAATATTTTCAAAAATCTAGTATTTTTCACTCAGGGGCGGTTTCTCCATTGGTTCATTTGTGCAGTGAACACCCAATTAAATTTCATAAAAACACATTATTTTAATATTACATAAATAACATAAAAATATAAATTTAATTTTAATATTTTTATTTTCATACGTGTTAATCTATATTTTTTGGTACATCATTGCCCTCTGGCTGATCGCGTCTCTGTGGCACAGAATACCTAAGTATACTGTGTCTGTGGCGCATTATGATGAGTGAGCCTAACACGAGTGAGACGATTTGGTGAATGCATTAAGTTAAAAAGAGAAAACAACACGCCAACATATCCTTCAAACGTCAAAGGAACACATTAATTGCTGCGTTTGAGAATCCACATCGGATGCATTTTTTACCTCTCGAGCGTTTTTTTATTCACATCGGACACATCTGTCCCATTACATTTACGTATAATGAATCACGTGATCAAAGATTTTTTACATCTCAGATGCATCCGATGTGGATTCTCAAACGCAGCAAATAGAGGACTTCTATACAAGGGAAGTGCAACCAACTTGACAAAATAAAATTGACACTAATGACATAAGAAATCGGGTCACATAAAGAGGCTGTTTTTTAGTTTGATTTTTGGTTTTTCCTATCTACTTTCATGCCATTTGCATACCTTGTTGTACCCGTAACGTGAAAAAGACTTTTTATTTTAGGGTATTTTACATTTAAAGGTTGAAAACATTTGTCAATATCAGCTGTCGATAATGTCAAAACATAGCATTGCATTTTATTTTTTGTTGTTATTAGTCTAAATGTGTTTCTCCTGCTTTCTTGAAACATTATTTTTCATTTGGTTTTATTTATTTATGTCGATTGCAAAATGCTGCTGCTACGAATACAAGTTCTATAAAATATACAACCAACATACAATACTAATTACGTTATGCCCATCTATGGTTACGCCTGTGTTCTATCATCAACATAATTGACAGCTGACAATGACAAAATATTTCAACCTTTAAATGTAAAATACCCTAAACTAAAAAGTCTTTTTTACGTTACGGGTACAACAAGGTATGCAAATGGCATGAAAGTAGATAGGAAAAACCAAAAATCAAACTAAAAAACAGTCTCTTTATGTGACCCGATTTCTTATGTCATTAGTGTCAATTTTATTTTGTCAAGTTGGTTGCGCTTCCCTTGTATAGAAGTCCTCTATTGGCGCGCCGCTCACAAACAAGGTTGCCAAACCAGTGTTGCCAGTCTAGTACAATTCACAAATGTACTAGATGTAGTACATTCTGCTTAAGGCAGTGTTCACGTGTAAAATATATTGTGTTCCTTGTTTGAGTTCGTTATCTATAAAAATCCCCTTTTTTTCTCTTCAATAAATTAGATGTCACTTCAAATAGAATTCGAAAAATTTGGTACATTTAAGGAATCTGGTACATTTTTTAGACAAATCTGGTACATAACAAAAACATATTCTGGCAACACTACCAAATCAAACAAACTGTCATTCCGTCTAGCTGGGGTTCAGTTATATAGCGCGAATTTAGAGATGAGTAGTAATAACGTAAATGTACCTACTTAACACTTACAGATTTGCCAATATCCATCTCTAAATTCCAGTGTGACACCGGAATCACTTGAAACTTTAGAGACGTTGTAACCGAACTTTGATTTTAGTTCAAGGACGACTTACCCACAAAGCATGTATCTTCTAGAGACCCCACGCCAATGTTAAACTTTTAAACCAAATTAGCGCCACCTTGTGTTTGGAGCTGGAACTAAAATGACAATTGACAGATGGCGGTAAATTCAAATTGTAATTTTTAGGAGTAGGTAGTAGTTTTAAATTAAATTTTAAATGATTTCCACATAAATTATTTTATAAAATAAAGTATGGAACTAGTAAGTTCGAAACTTTTATTTTACAAAATAATTTAGGTCGATTATACCAAATTTGAAGAATTAATTTGTTATAAGGGGTCTAATGTGGAGAGTTGGTTCTGCATATTTTTATTAAATAAATATAAGATATATCAATAAATAATAAAATAGAACATTCTTAAAATATGTTTATTAATAACTTAAATAAATATTATTAGATAAAAATAAATACAAATAATAATACATATTTAACGAATACTTACTTGGAGCAAATAGATATATAATCTCAAATCTTTAAAATACCTATCAATAATTTAAATGTGAAGTAGAGACTAGGATATTACATTTTATTAACACTAAAGTTATATATTTTATAAATGTCTTTTTAACTGAGGACAAATGTAATATAGGTATTGTATTAAAAGGTGAATCCTTTTAACTATTCATTCAATGATAAATAGGTATTTTCCTTTCAAATACAGATGGTGGTATTACTCTCTTATGTGAAAAATGATTTCGGAATCTAGTCCAGTGATAAATTGATTATCAATTAGTTGTTGTCCCCGTTTGTCTTTTTATGATGCAGATGCATGGTGAATATATATATGGTGAATCAATGAAGTTTTTCTCGAAGTTTTCAACGTAGCACCAAAATTATTGCAAAACACAGTAGGAAATAAAAAAGCGAAACATCACAATTTTGCAAATAACTAAGACGAAACTATAAACAGAAACCAAAAGCCAAAGCCAACAAAAAAATCACTAAAATCAGACGGAAAAATGAAACTAACCAAGAACATAAATAAATACACGTCACATCTTTGGAGTCTTTGGTTAAGTTTTTCTCCCATAAGGCTTAAAAATGGAGTAAGAAATCATAATTTCACCAGAAGCCCCATCTAGAGTTTGGAGCAAATAGCATAAAAAATGTCAGTTGTCGGTTTTGACCTTGGTCATTCACGTGGAACCTCTATGTGCTTTGTGGACTTACCCAACTCCGACTCAGCTGAGTTCTGTTTATAAATATGGACCTGAATATATTTGTATCCTTGTTTATCGATATATAAAAGAAGAAAGTGAGAATACACTCAGTGAGACACGAGATCCATTTACAAATTATACTTTTTATGGATTTGTGTGTTCCGTGAACCGAATTTTCATTGTTTTGAGGTTGGCTGTACTGGTCTTAGGTTCTGTGTGAATTTACTAGTGTTTATGTACGATGGAATCGTATTCGGTGAAATTTATAAAAACAAATAAACATAATTTCGTGAATCGAGTACTTATAAAAAAGAATGGCCCACCTCGATCGGAGATAAACATTGTTTAAGAATGTGCCATAAGAAATAGAAAGTTTAAACATACTTTTAAGATTGAACAATATAAAAAAACTTCGTGGTTGTGAGGGTGTGATAAACAACATGCTTTGTTTTGTTTTCCTTGTTTAGTTTTTGCAAACAATGAAAATACTAATTCAGAAAGGACAAAAACAGGTGTTAGGGATTTATCTCATTTATCAGCAAAAATTAAAAAACACTTTTATTATTATTATTATTATTATTATTATTAAACTACTGAACTACCCAATGAACCGAGCAAAAACCTGACACTGATTATATTAGGTAAGCATGTTTTTGCATTATTTCTATAATTTAAACTTGACGTTTCTTTCTTGCACTGTATTAATCGAGGAATTAATATTGTACCCGACATTGTGTAAATTATATATTTTTTCTTCTATAGAGCACAGAATTAAAAATTGTGGACACCCTTTTTAAATTATAACGAGCCGCCACTGCCTTTAATTATAAAAACATAATTAAATATGGGGGATTTAAGGGGGGGGGGGGTTGAAATTAAAATTAAAAACAAAAAGACAAAAATGAAAAGCGATATCAACATTTTTTAGTAAAAATCAAGCCCTATAAGGAGATGAGGCCTATTGATTGTGAAAACAATCTGGTAGAAAATGGAGTTAAGGGAGTCTGTTAAACTGCGAAGAGTATCATTTAGAATGCCAGGCATTATATATCTTTGTTCTAGTTTTTATTTGTGTAATCGTATGTATTGTGATGGGACTGATCTCATAAAATAAACATTTAAAACATTTTAGTTCTTATTTTATTTAGAAGTTATTATTTTAAAAGGTATTTAAAAAACATATTTTTTATTTGACATCTGTGACAAATTTTGAAAATGATTAAATTTACAATTAAAACTGAAAAATGGTAGGTAAAGTTTCATATAATATTTTTTACACAAAAATCAATGTCAAGCTTTCTACATAACCCTATATATATATTTAAAAATAATCTCAAATTATGAACAAAAGTCAGTTTACTAACTAATAATGTTTATAGGTGGTTTTCAATGTATCAAAAAAAAACAAATATCACACTAACTAAAATATTTATTAATTAATAGTTATAGTGCTTGAAAATAGTATGATGTTGATAATAACTACATTTAACACAAACTCAAATAATAAAAAAACAGCGATATTGGCTCTTGTACAAAGTTTTGGACCGAACTTACAAAAATGATAAAAGTATTGGAAAAAGTGAACACCCATTTCAAATTACCACCAGCCGCCACTGTTATAACCTTTCTTCTGGGGCCTATAACCACGGATAACTCAGTAATTAAGGCTTTGGCAAACAACTACTGGGAGACGAAAAAATGTCAAAATAGATTTAAGATTTCAGTGGTGTCCTGTTTTAAACTGAATTTCATTGTCTAAAAAAGTAGGAGAACATTTTACCTATACTTTTTTACTGCACATATTTTTGTTGTGCCCTGTGTATGCAACAGTGCATTAACCAGTATTAGTAATCTTAATAAAATGACCAATTTTCCTTTTAGCAAAAGCAAAATAAATGCGGGAACATTTATTTATTTATTTAATTTAAAAGGTACAGTACAGAATTATGATTCCAAATGGTACCATTGAGTAAGGAAATTATACTCCTTTACTCAATGATGGTACTCAATACAATATACATACCTAAATAAAAACAGATACTATTTAAAAATAGGTAGGTATTATTCCGGTCAAGATATAAGAGCATGGTTATCAGCGACTTAAAGATAAATAAGTACTTCTTTACACTGGAAACAAATTATTCAGGTCCGCATTATAGATAATACCTATCTAATTTTCAGTACAAAATGAAAAATGCCTAGTAATAATTTATATAATTCTCAATCTTTATATCTATAATCTGCAATTCTCAGAAAAAGTAGTTAAGTATTTATTTATACCACTAAAAACAAACTTTAAAAACTTTTTTCTAAGTAGGCATATTCTTATCACACTTTCTTTTGATTTTATAAAATACGCTTAGTGTATTAAAATGTAATTACCATACTTGATATATCAGCACCCTTTTTTTGTCCCTATATCTATTCTGAAAGGTTGTTGTATTTTGGTATGTAATTAATTGAGAAAATGTTTACTATTCAATATGTATCAATTGTATTAGACTATTTACAGAGCTTTAAGAGCTACAAGGCTGTTCTAAGACATTTAGCAGTATATTAGTATTATGTTTTCTCGTTTACCTTACTCCTGCGTTATTACATCTTTGTACCATATTAGCAAATGAATTTTCGTCCCCAGATCTAGTGGTAAGTGCGTAACTTACAGGTTGGTACCTTTCCCACCATGGTCTGTTTCCTATAACTGCATTTTCATTGGGAGGTGATACCTAAAACAAGAAAATTTTTGAACTACTTAAATAATTTGCTCATCTCAAAGAATAAGACAATGATTCACAAAATCAATCTCATATAAATGTTCTTTATTATAAGTAATTAACAATTTTCACCTATAATACCACTAGTACCTAAATTATTTTCTTAACATATCCGGAGTGAGAAAAAATTTCCGGATAATAATTTAGGTTTAAAATAAATTAATTAGATTTTGGACTTTCAACAATGACTATTTTTTTTCTTTGACAAGACACTAATAAAACAGGAGGTATTACTTCACTTGGTAATTCAAATGCTATGGAAACTAAGTAAAACTTTAACCACAGTTTATAGCAAAAGAATCAGTTAGCCCACTTGGATCAATTGGATGTTCCAAAATAACATCCACTCCAGGAATACAAATTTAATATGCGCAGAAGACTGCTGTTTGATTATAGATGGTTGTCATATATTGTATTAGGTAAGAGAGCCCATTAAAAATTTCGACTATCATCTGATAACGAAATGAAATATACTCCAAAGGCATTTAACAACATTGCACTTTACAAAATTGCATCTGCGCCAATCGATATCCTGAGCAAAGTGGTTAAAACAAAATATTAAGCTATTGCATAACTTTTAACTCGGGCTTTGAGCGCGGCGACCGAATCAAGAAATTCCGTAACGAAAATAAACCTAACACTCCCACTCCGACCGGCACAGCGGTGCGGCGTTGAAAGCCGTGGAAGGTTTTATCTGACCCTATTCGTATTAGTATGAAGCGGAGTTAAATATACGTCTGCGGACTGAAACGTTTATGCAATACAAGAACTAGAAGAACTTTCTCTGGCTTCTAATAAATTGGTATCACAAATGTTCCAGGCTGGCGTAAATATTAGATATTAATTTTTTTTGCAAGATATAAAATATTAATTTTTATTTTATCAGTGTTAACTATTTCATTATTAAGCTATTGCATAGATTTAATCGCGGGCTTTGAGCGAAAATAGAAAATCGAAAAATCAAGAGATCAAAAAATCAAAATATCGAAAAATCGAAAAATCGAAAAATCGAAAAATCGAAAAATCGAAAAATCGAAAAATCGAAAAATCGAAAAATCGAAAAATCGAAAAATCGAAAAATCGAAAAATCGAAAAATCGAAAAATCGAAAAATCGAAAAATCGAAAATTCGAAATATCGAAAAATCCAAAAATCCAAAAATCGAAAAATCGAAAAATCGAAAAATCGAAAAATCGAAAAATCGAAAAATCGAAAAATCGAAAAATCGAAAAATCGAAAAATCGAAAAATCGAAAAATCGAAAAATCGAAAAATCGAAAAATCGAAAAATCGAAAAATCGAAAAATCGAAAAATCGAAAAATCGAAAAATCGAAAATCGAAAAATCGAAAAATCGAAAAATCAAAAAATCGAAAAATTGAAAAACCGAAAAATCGAAAAAATCGAAAAATCGAAAAATCGAAACAGAAATTCCGTAACGAAAACAAACCTTACGCTCCCCACTCCGACCGGCACAGCGGTGCGGCGTTGAAAGCCGTGCATCGTCTAACGTCGTTTCAGTTCGGCAGACTTCGGCACGGTGTTTGTGTGCGTGCGACCAGAGACCAGACGTATGCGTGTAGACTAGCTGCTAACTGATTCTATCTATCTCTTTTAGACACAATTTCGGAAAAATTGAATTTGAAAATGAATAATGATTCACAAGAATCCACAACAAAATATGGGACCTACCATTGACGCGGTGTATATTTCCAGATATTTAGAGGATATCAACTCTCAAACTTATGTTTCTTATTTTAGTTACCCATAAACCTATAGTTTCAATGATAAAAAATTCCTGAATACCCTACATGTATTGTAAGATAATAAAAATTATTTAAACAATATTAACTCATTTATTCAATAAAAGAAAAAAAATTGTTTTCTTATCGGTCACCACGCTCAAAAAGTGTAACTTGAATTAATATCAAAGAAAAAAATACTGCATAAAAAAAAACAAATATTGATAATTGCATAATGTTGATAAAAAATGCTATACAATAGCTTTACCGCGGCAGTCCCCGAGTGTCACACGTATTTTTTTGTTATAATTGAGATGCACTTTAGTATCTTTAAATTTTCTAATGGAAAGTAAAGTCATGTAATACCCTCATTTGAAAGATATTTTATATTATATTTACGTCCTAGCACACAGTTTTAATTTTTTTTTGTTTTTACAATAATAACATTCTTAATAATCCTCGTGTGCCGCAATAATCCTAGAAATGCTAGATAATATTAGAAGATAATTTTTTAATAGAGCTTTTTTTTGCGAAGAAGTTATGAAAAAATTTAATACGTCAAGTGGTTATTAAATTACCTTTGATATTTGTAATTTATTTATTTTAGTATATACAAGAAGTGTTTCCTTAGAAATAAACAATAATTGTTAATAGGAGAGTTATCAAGAATGTAACTTATTAGTAAAGGTCCAGAACACAAAGCAAACAAAAGAAAACAAAGAGAAAGCAAAAGAAAGCAAAAGAAAGCACAAGAAAATACAAATAAAACAAAAGAAAACAAAGGAAAACACAAAAGAAAACAAAAGAAAACAAAAGAAAACAAAAGAAAAAAAAGGAAAACAAAAGAAAACAAAGAATAAACAGAAAGAACAAAAGAAAACAAAAGAAAACAAAAGAAAACAAAAAGAAACAAAAGAAAACAAAAGAAAACAAAAGAAAACAAAAGAAAACAAAAGAAAACAAAAGAAACACAAAAGAAAACAAAAGAAAACAAAAGAAAACAAAGAAAACAAAAGAAAACAAAAGAAAACAAAAGAAAACAAAAGAAAACAAAAGAAAACAAAGAAGAAAACAAAAGAAAACAAAAGAAAACAAAAGAAAACACAAAGAAAACAAAAGAAAACCAAAAGAAAACAAAGAGAAAAACAAAAGAAAACAAAAGAAAACAAAAGAAAACAAAAGAAAACAAAAGAAAACAAAAGAAAACAAAAGAAAACAAAAGAAAACAAAAAGAAAACAAAAGAAAACAAAAGAAAACAAAAGAAAACAAAAGAAAACAAAGAAAACAAAAGAAAACAAAAGAAAACAAAAGAAACAACAAAAGAAAACAAAACAGAAAAACAAAAGAAAACAAAAGAAAAACAAAAGAAAACAAAAGAAAACAAAAGAAAACAAAAGAAGAACAAAAGAAAACAAAAGAAAACAAAAGAAAACAAAAGAAAACAAAAGAAAACAAAAGAAAACAAAAGAAAACAAAGAAAACAAAAGAAAACAAAAGAAAGACAAAAGAAAACAAAAGAAAACAAAAGAAAACAAAAGAAAACAAAAGAAAACAAAAGAAAACAAAAGAAAACAAAAGAAAACAAAAGAAAACAAAAGAAAACAAAAGAAAACAAAAGAAAACAAAAGAAAACAAAAGAAAACAAAAGAAAACAAAAGAAAACAAAAGAAAACAAAAGAAAACAAAAGAAAACAAAAGAAAACAAAAGAAAACAAAAGAAAACAAAAGAAAACAAAAGAAAACAAAAGAAAACAAAAGAAAACAAAAGAAAACAAAAGAAAACAAAAGAAAACAAAAGAAAACAAAATAAAACAAAAGAAAACAAAATAAAACAAAAGAAAACAAAATAAAACAAAAGAAAACAAAATAAAACAAAAGAAAACAAAAGAAAACAAAAGAAAACAAAAGAAAACAAAAGAAAACAAAAGAAAACAAAAGAAAACAAAAGAAAACAAAAGAAAACAAAAGAAAACAAAAGAAAACAAAAGAAAACAAAAGAAAACAAAAGAAAACAAAAGAAAACAAAAGAAAACAAAAGAAAACAAAAGAAAACAAAAGAAAACAAAAGAAAACAAAAGAAAACAAAAGAAAACAAAAGAAAACAAAAGAAAACAAAAGAAAACAAAAGAAAACAAAAGAAAACAAAAGAAAACAAAAGAAAACAAAAGAAAACAAAAGAAAACAAAAGAAAACAAAAGAAAACAAAAGAAAACAAAAGAAAACAAAAGAAAACAAAAGAAAACAAAAGAAAACAAAAGAAAACAAAAGAAAACAAAAGAAAACAAAAGAAAACAAAAGAAAACAAAAGAAAACAAAAGAAAACAAAAGAAAACAAAAGAAAACAAAAAAAAACAAAAGAAAACAAAAGAAAACAAAAGAAAACAAAAGAAAACAAAAGAAAACAAAAGAAAACAAAAGAAAACAAAAGAAAACAAAAGAAAACAAAAGAAAACAAAAGAAAACAAAAGAAAACAAAAGAAAGCAAAAGAAAACTAAATAAAACAAAAGAAAATAAAAGAAAACAAAAGAAAACAAAAGAAAACAAAAGAAAACAAAAGAAAACAAAAGAAAACAAAAGAAAACAAAAGAAAACAAAAGAAAACAAAAGAAAACAAAAGAAAACAAAAGAAAACAAAAGAAAACAAAAGAAAACAAAAGAAAACAAAAGAAAACAAAAGAAAACAAAAGAAAACAAAAGAAAACAAAAGAAAACAAAAGAAAACAAAAGAAAACAAAAAAAACAAAAGAAAACAAAAGAAAACAAAAGAAAACAAAAGAAAACAAAAGAAAACAAAAGAAAACAAAAGAAAACAAAAGAAAACAAAAGAAAACAAAAGAAAACAAAAGAAAACAAAAGAAAACAAAAGAAAACAAAAGAAAACAAAAGAAAACAAAAGAAAACAAAAGAAAACAAAAGAAAACAAAAGAAAACAAAAGAAAACAAAAGAAAACAAAAGAAAACAAAAGAAAACAAAAGAAAACAAAAGAAAACAAAAGAAAACAAAAGAAAACAAAAGAAAACAAAAGAAAACAAAAGAAAACAAAAGAAAACAAAAGAAAACAAAAGAAAACAAAAGAAAACAAAAGAAAACAAAAGAAAACAAAAGAAAACAAAACAAAAAACAAAAAAATATATGTCGGCGTTAGGACCGGCGCCTTTCGGCGTTAGGACCGGCGCCTTTCGGCGCTACGATTGGCGCCTACCGGCGTTGGCATTTGTAGGACCAGCGCACCGGAAAATCTCACGGTTTCCCAGTGGGCCCATCCGCCCTTGTTCTTTACCCACTAGTAATGGGCGATTTCGATTTCGTCCCAAACCTACAGTTAACGTTAATTTCACTCTAAAACATCCCGTATTAAACTATTTTAGTGGGAAATTAATTAAAAGATCCATTTATACATTCACTTATTTTGAGGGTTAACCAATATATTTATTTTGTTATTATTTACGTGCTTTATTTTCAATTTTCAAAAAAAAAACTCAGATATTTTTGTTTAATTTAATTGAAGAAAGAAATTGCAACAATGCAAAATATCTTACTTGAACTCCAGCATATCCTTTTGGTCCCAAAAAATTCTCACATTCGTTTGCGATATCATCCCAATGCCATTCAAAAAGATGTACTATAGTATTCCTTCCATCGGCGAAATGAGGGTCCTTTTGTCCGAAAACGTTGGACAAAGCCAACGTGACGACAAACAATATGAGCACGCTTTTCATCTTGAACGGTTTAAAAAAAAAAAAACTACTGGCAAAGTTCAATTTTGCCACGAACCTATTTATACTATTCGTAAATCAAAACATTCTAGATTGATCGCATAAATAAATGATAATCGTTTTTATTATTTATTTAATTTTTAATTAATTTTACGAATACCTATGTGCTTCTTTTCGAAGTATTTGATTAGGGACTTGAGGTTGAATATTAATCTAAAAGTATTATCAGATTTAATACGATTATTAGCAGTGGCAGTACAGCGAGGGATGTCTTTTACAATTTTTTTTTTTTTTTTAATTATTACTAAAGACTTATGTCAACCATAATTCCTAGTTTACCGTTGTTGTTATTATCAAACGACTATAAATCAGTAAATCTTCTATTATGTATTGTTTATAAGTAAATACATCATTACAGATACTGTTGAGTAATAAAATTCCAAAACTAAAACTGTTACGTAATGTATATACAATGTGTTTCATAAAATTGTATCCATATGGGATTTTGTAATATTACGATTAGAAAAAGGTCTTATGTCAATTAGCTATGCTTACCTAAAAATTTAAAATAGCACTTATTAAAGTTGGCTGCTGACATTAGTTTTTTGTCAAATTTGCAATAAAAATGACAATTTTTGAATGACTTCAAAAAAAATACCGAATTTGACAGATAACAAATGCAGGAGCAAACTTTAATATGGGCTATTTTAAGTTTTTAAAAATAGAAGCATTTTTTACAATCGTAATATTATAAAAACTCCCATACGGATCTAACTTTATGGAGCACTCTGTATATTACATACCAGTTTCATTTATCAAACTAGTCATATTACGCCGTTGCTAGATGATCGCTATGGTTACGTTAGGTTGCTTTGACATTTCAGAAATAGAAAAATTGCCAATTTTGTATTTTTTTAAAGATTAAAATGATTTCATCAGATAGTGAAAATGAATTTCAAGGAAGGAAGGAGATATTCTTGAAAAAGCTACTAACAAGTTACGACCATAGCCCTCAGAAAGTCTAGATACCGCTTGGCGTATGCTGTCAATACAAAAAAATTACCCCATTCAAGCTTGTCGCCATGTTAGGTAAATTTATGTTTTGGCTACACTGATTTTCAGTTTCTGTGTTCTGTAATACGTGAACACCGATAATCTGCACTTTGTTATTAGTTATAAGTGAGTGAGACGCACAATTTTTAATTTCAAATTAAGAACAAAACTTTGACAAACCTATTTGATTTTCCTAGATCTGTTCAGACAGGACCGGTTTTATAAATTTTCTCGTTCTTGAAATGTTATTTTTACATGGTTATATATATATATTATTGGATAAGTGTTTTGTGTACATATTGCTATGAGAATTATAGAGAAATTCAGTGAGATTTATGTAATATAATTCAAATTACAAGTAAACCATCTGTTCCTGTTTGGCAATATGGAGAAAATACATACTTCAATGTCAGATGTACTATTTAAAAGAATGTGATTGTTAACCGGTCATTTATTTATATTATGAAAATAAAAACTCGAATTTTTTAACTAGGGAAAGATATACTTACATCGGTAACGAGGTATTTTTAGAAAAACTAATAGATTACTCCTATTCCTATAGTTTATTTGAAAATGAATAATAGCAAAATTATATAAAAATATGGACCTTTGCCATAAAAACTGTGCTACTAAGAGCATTTTCAAATAAACTATAATGATAATTTGATTTAATAGAGCGAGTATAAGATCTCACCTGTTAGAGAAATTGGGGCATAGGGAAGAGATTATGAAGCAGGTAAGCAAAGTCGTTACAAAAGATAAATATATAGAAGTTATTTTAAATATTTGATAAAAAAACTAGTGGAACAACAAATGGAGTTGTCGCTATCGGAGATCCAATCAGCAGAAAAAGGGCACAGCAATAGGCCCAAAACAATTCCTTGGTTTTTTAAAAATTATAATCTTGTGAGATGCAAAAAATACTGCTAGAGTGGAGAAGCAGTATTGTTCTAATGTAGAAAACCCAGGGACATACAGCAGTGCACTAACCATAGGCACTAAATTATACAAGAGTCCCATCTCGATTTTATTTTTAAATATTTTTGAGAATACCTATTATTATTTGTTACATTGAGTTTAATAAAACCACAGATTTCGAATGTATTGAAAGTTATTTAAAAAGTACCTCTATAAATATATAGAAAATGTGTATATGACTAACTGGTTTTATTAATCTTTTTTTGGGGTAGGTAAATATATTTTGAAAAATTTACAATCTTCTTTTGAATAAAAGACAAAATATTTCTGTTTTTATTAACTGAACAATATTTTATACAAACATAATATATACCTATTTAAAAGAAAATATTACATTTTACAAGAATCGCATATTTATATGAAATAACTTACTCAATAAGAAAGAATTAAATGAAACAAATTAATAAACAATGGATATGAAAAATTGCTTTAACAATTTAATCCTTAGATAAACTTATTCTTATATTATATTGTTTTAATCAATTTATTTACTATAAAACTATATTTCCTATCATTTATTACATGTAATAAAATAAAGCATAACACATACAAACTGTAATATGTACCTACTTAGAACGGAACTAATATTATTGTATCAAGGTAGTAATAGTGGACATTTTCCGAATAAAAAAAAGTAAAAAAGAAGTAACGGTCGACACGTTTTTCTGACTATTGGTCTTCATCAGTACGGTGCAACCAAGTTCAAAGGATCATGGAACGTGTGTTGGAAAAATTGTACAATAGGTCACTAACAAGGAGCCAATAACACATTTGCCGTTTCAGCTAGTATCCCCAAATTTTCTGGGCTTATACTAAAGTCACAAAATGATTCAATGGTCTTCCTATGGGTATCAGTTATTCTTTCCTAAAATTTTTTGGTATGCTACAACAAAACACAAATTATTTGATTTTGAAAATATACAAATATTTTTGAAAACTTACACATGAAATGTTATTCCTTCTTTGTATCTTCTACCGTTGGATGCATTGTTACATTCACGTACAAAACAACAAGAGATTTTGAAAATCCTGTAAAAATTTAACACCAAACCACAAATGTTTTTTATTAAAATAAAACACTAAACGACTAAACTAAAAAATAATGTTTTAAATAAAACCTTTACTAGAAGAACAAAATAAACAACACAACCGATAATAAAATCGATTATATACGTCGAACGCCGATCTTACGCTTATTACTACACTTGTGCCGATTCTGTCTTATCAGAAGTGCCAACTTAAAATTTATTGACATTTATTTATCATGGCGCCCATCATATGGGGGGTCAAAATGTTTTTACGATGCGATATCTAGACCTTCTGAGGGCTATGGTTACGACCCTCAAATCAAGGGCAAGGTTTATGGACTGACGTATAAAGAACAATGTAAACTCATTTTCTGAAAGTAAGCTTTTAGTATATTTTGGGGAACTTATGGAACAATTCAAACCTTATCAGTATGGGCAATGTATTTTATGTTAAGAAACGTCATTTCCATAAAAAATAAAGTGAATATTGAAACATACACAAAATTAAAAACATACCTCCAAAGGCAATCAGACGGTTTTAAAAGCAGAAAAGTTTTTGATGAAATAAGTAAATTTCAATACGTACTGCCTCCCCCCCTCGAATGAGGGAGGCAGTACGTGCCAATTTGTATAATTTTTATTTTTACAATTTAAAATTTTAATTCAACATTTAATTTTTTCTGTGGGCACATAGTGATTGTACCTACCTACCTACTCACTTTCAAAAAATGTTTGCCTGATGATGACCTTTTAGGTCGAAAGCGCTTGCAACCCAACCGAATAAATTTATGTGGTCGACAGACTTTGAGTCTTTTACTTCCCTTTAATCTACTTCGGACCACTTTGAGATATGGATAATATTTGGAATTTAATGTTTCTTTAGTTGCAATGTACAGTATTTTTAATTTAACGTATTTAATAAATGTTATAGATTATGAAAGCCTTCTCGTTATTATGAATGTATGATTGTGGTTGTACATAAAGTATAATACATTATTCGAGAGCTTCTTGCTACTCTTGTTATGTAATTAATATAATTACACCTCGGCAAGACTAATTTAATTATTTTGTTTTACTTTACATCACCCTTATACACGTTGGGTGATTAATATACTACACATAACCAAAAAGTCAATACAATATATTTATTTATATGTCTGTTTTGGTGGCATAAATATTTGCATTGACATTGTTCTACTAGGCTATCTAAATACAATGGTAATACTGAATTAAATAATTTAATTTACGTTTTTCTAAAACTTTATTTATTTTTGCAATTATAAAAAATATCCTATAGCTTTGCATTGACATGTATAGCTACCATACCATCTTCATCACCATTGGACAAATTAATAGAAGCTTGTCCGCTACCGTCAACATTAACAGATTTTCCAGTACAAGATCCATTTTCTAAGTTTCCAGAAATGATATCGCAATAAGTACCAGCAGGCAAAGAAGTCTGCAAGTTTTGGTTGATGTCTCCATTTAGAGTAAAAGCAATGAAACCTTTGTCTCCCCTTCCAAAAGCGATTTGTTGATCGCCATTATCCCACCAGTTGGAGATTTGGGTACCTGCAACAGCATTCCTAAACCCAACCATATTGGAGATTTGCCTCCATCTGTGTTCGCAGACCCAACCGTTAGTGCAAGAACCATCGTCGTTAAATCCAGGTCCATATCCTGGTGGACCTGCATCTGCGTCATCAAAGTAAAAGCTGGACATAATCCTTGTAGTTCCATAAGGATGTGCTAACATAAATGCAATGGCCATCTTGTAAGGTTTTGGATTCTTATAGGTAAGAATAGCACCAGACCCATGTCTTTGATTGTCATGGTTGTCGATGAAAGCTACTGCGTCTGAGCCATCGAGTAGACCCCATTCCGGTCCCCAATTTTTTAGATAATGAATTGGATTATTACCCTGGAAAGCATTTCCCAATTCTGTACCAAATTTGAATTCTAAAACTGTTCCAAAGCTGTTATACTCAGTCTTTTTTACTGCTTCCCCACCTGGAAATCCAGAAGCAATTTTTATGTTTCGTGTTACATTTGCTTGAATATGTAAGATGACCTAAAACTTGTACTCACCCATATCAATGACTTCTTGGAAATAGAATGGCCTTCCACCAACAGAAACATCTTTGACAGAACCGTAGATTGCTTGTAAATCTGCCGGCCACATGTGCTTAGCGGCATCTACTCTAAATCCTGTTACGCCCAGATCTACCAAATGATTCAGATAGTCAACGATTTTTCCACGCACGTACTCTGAGCTCTATAATAAAAATAAAGTATTCAACCTTTAGTAATACGCTAATTAAGACTACAGCTTGATAAAAAGTGATTTAATAATGTAGAAAAATATTTAAAAGGCATAGCAAATTAACTTTGGAAAATATCAAACATTTCGTTATAATGCTCAAAAAATATGTCTCTTCTACTACATAATAATATGAATTAAAAGTTATTTAGTGTATAGGTATACAAAATTCAGATTGTTAGAAAACCTGAATAGGTGAAATAATAGAACTTTGGATTAATAAGGTTTAAAATAACGAAGAAAAAAAATAATAAAGTGCGAGTCGGACTCGCGCATGAAGGTTTCCGCACCATCGTACAAGATTTAGTACTATGTAGGTACTTTTTAAATACTGTTACGCAGGTTTTTGGTATCACAATTTATTTCAACTGAACTTTAACAATAACAATGCAACTGATAACATTAACGTGTAACGTCTATCATAAAACTGAAAACTGACGTCAGGATCATCCTTATAGTACTTTTAGATGGTCAGATCAGTTCTCCGTTCAGTCTCAGTTGCAGTAGAACTGTCTGTTATCTGTATATGTAAACACAAAAAACTGTAAGAAAAACTGAAACTGATACGGAGCTGTGGCTCGATGGGTATCGTATCTGTTGTCAGTTAAAGGGATGTAATTTCCAAATTGAACTGACAACTGTACCGAAACTGAAACTGAACGAAGAACTGATCTGACCGTCTAAAAGTACCTTTATATAGCTTGCATGACTTTTCTCGAACCTTCGCGAACTGTCGTCTAGAATATTATTGACGGGTAATGACATTTCCAGACATTATTGCACTTGCACTTTTACTTATAATGACCGCAGCACAGGGCGATGAGTAACATTCCACTTCTTTTTCTATCTGTACGTTTCCTTTGATAGCCGCAGGCTACTGAAGGTGCTGCGTAACATTGCTCCCTCCTCTCTAGTTATTCGCCCCAAATAACTTGATTACTGGGACCTAGTCGGAACTAATGGGGAGGATCTGGACCATGGTATGGAGCTATCTTCCCAACGTGAACTACGTTGAATTTACTTCCCGCTGACAGTTGAATGCGGCAGATCAAGATGTTGATTTTCCTTAAGGACGGCGTAGGGGTCTTCCCAATTCCGTTGCGATTTCTGACGAAGTCCTCCTCGCTGCTTGGGATTACACAGCCATACCTTGTCGCCTCTCTCAAAATGTGTATCTGTGACACGCCTGTCCATTCTAGCTTCTGCTTTATCGGTGTGGGTTTTCAGTCGTTCCCGTGCGAATCCATAGACCTTTGTCCTGCCACTGCATACATCACATTTTTTACACCAATCCGCTGCATCCCGTCGGCAATTGACCCAACAAAGTCTTTCCCGAACTCGTACCAGTGTCCTTTTGGTATCAAAGTGTCCTCCTGAACGGCTGCTATAAGGCTCCTCCAATACTTTTCTCACCTGTGACCTCGGCAGTAACACTTGGCAGACTACATGTACTCCATCGGGGCTGTCCCACTTCCGGTGCAATAGGCCATCGTGAAGATACAGGGAATCCCACTAGGTCCAGTAGCCTTTTATAATTCTACTGTATTTGACTATCTCTTGTCAAGTAGGTATGACTTTATTTTTGAGCCATTCTCGGACAACCGTTAAGTCATTGTCTTCCTTCTGTCCCTGCCTCAGACTTTCAAGAGTGATTTCCTCTTCGTCGCCCTCTGGCTTGATAGTGATCGCCCGAAGAGTAAATTTATCAACCGGTTCTTCTTGATCTTCTTGTTCTTCGAGCCTTTTACCATACCAGCATTGTTCCTCTAAATGGGGTTGCCCGAAGAGAATGTCTACGTTGCTATGGAGACCTTCTCGATTCTCTACTTTCTGGTTATTGTTAGAAATCCGGCTCGGTGTAGGTGATTGGCTTCTTCGGGACGCATAGCTGCTGTAATTAATTCTTATTGGTCTTAGTGATGGACTTGGAAAGATTGATATCTATATGATTTTTCGGTCTCATTCGCTGATTCTTGATTTATAGAATGAGCCATGCTTCTACAGGTTCTTTGAAGGTGTCCAATTCTTCCGCAATTAAAGCATCTCCTGCTTTCATTTTGGCTGTTGCGTTGCAAATTTTGTAGGACATTTAAGATTTAGGGACTAGCATTAGTATTGGCCTTCTCACTTTCCTGGGATTAAATGTCCTTCACTTTTACGCGAGAAGATCTGGATAGGAGTTTTACCGCTTCATATTCCTGAACTGCAATCAGTTTCTCTCTTAGCGTCTTGTGATATTGTAGACGAAGGACTTGCTGCATTTTCACATCTTGTAGTCCATCAATGAATGCTTCTATTCCGAGTTGTTCTTGGAAATCTTTCGGCACCTGTGGATAGGCCAGATGAATCAACTTTCTTATATCAGCCTCAAATTCCTGTAGACTCTCATTATGTTTCTGACTACGAACCTTTAGCTGGCTTTGGAATACCCGTTGCAAATGCTGCTGGCCATATCTTGTCTCCAAAGCTTCGATGAGAGATGAATAACTGGGTTCCTCTTCAGGAAGTAACTGTAAAACGGTTGATTCCCATGTTGTCTGACCGTCAAACGTGGGTGGCTTAAGGGTCTTGCTAGTATAGTTTTGTGAAAATGGGATTCGAATGTGGCTTGGTTCGGTTATATATGAAGACGAGGTAGTAGTATTTGCAGATTCAATGCTGTTTACTGAAGCTTGGCTGTAAATTATTTTTTCTCACTCAGCCATTTCAGCTCTAATTTGCCTTTTCAACTCTACTCTAGCCTGTTTTTGTTGTTCTAAATTAGCTTTCAAATGCTCTTGTTGTTACTCTAACAGATCTACTCTAATTTTAAGCTGACCAACCTCTTTTTTGAAAGATCCTGGATTTGTAGCAAACCGTTCATAATTTTTACCTCAACTTTTCTACGCCTCTCTTCCTTCTCTTTTTCTTCATCCATCCTGCGTCTCTCCTTCTCCTCTTCTCGCCTTTCCTTTTGCTCCTCTTGGTAAAAGGAAAAAGAAAGAAATCAAATCAACCTATACAATAAATAAGTATTATTACGTTGTATATATTCCGCCTGGAATATAGAGGGAACAAAAAATATATCCTAGGTTCGTTCGATCTGTAGTAAAATTAAAAAATATCAAAAAATTGTATACATCTAAAAACAAACTATCAACTAATGCTCTGACTTTATAGTGTTAATATGTTGATAATGATCTAAATAATGTTTCTTACTTGATCTAAGTCTGGAAGACCCACAAGCCAACAGTTTCTGATATTGTTAGGATCTTGGTAGTTGTTAACTTCACACCTACTGTGGAAATCTCCAGGGCCAAAAGGCACAGCTGGATATTGCAAGTTTCCGACATCTGCTGAGTTTCCAGCAGTACCACCTCCTGAAGTAGCTGACATTTGATTGAATACAGCATCCACATAGATTCTAAAAAAAATATAAATATTTTAGATTTTTAAATCTTTATAGATTGAATTTACATTAAATCAGAAAAATATATTATGCAACAGTGCATTGTTCAGTCCATTATTATTACTGAATCTGGCAATTTCCTAAAAAGGGACATATTGGACTTGGATGTCCCCTTCAAGATTTTTTTTGTGAGTGTTCTATTATGGTATTTTTTATAATTATTTAGTATACTAGTCAACTAACTAAACTGCTTTCATATGATAACTGTCCTTGATGTTTTTCAGCACGCTTGGTCATTCTTAATAGAGAGTATTTTCAGGTTTAAGAGAACTTCTTAAATCATGGTTGAATTTAATTAACTTTTTCTGCCAAATTATAAGTAAGGAATCATGATATGCTGACAAAATGCCCATTCCATTGCATGTTATTTTCTTGAGGGGACAGAACCCAACTGCCCACTATTTTGTACACCCCTGAGAAAATATCTCTAAATCAAACCCTTCTAAGATGTTAGATCAAATGCAAAATGTTATGTCTACATCTCTAACATTGATTTAGAATCTATTTCGATGATCTCTAATAATAATAATAATAATAATTGCTCTAATAATTGCCAACATTAATTTAATTTTTTATGCCATGTCTTTACTCGAACTTTTATCACCTGTTTATATGCGATTAGTACTAGTAAAATTGTAGATTGATATAATATTTGAAACGATCCTATCAGGCAAGCAACGTTATGTAAAAAGCGGTCAAGTAAAAATAGTTCATATTTTGATTTCTCGGCAGAAAACTAGCTGTCCTTATATCCAGCCTTTTTTAATTGTTCGAAGTGACATTCTACCCAACTTGATTGTCTAAAAGCGCAGAATATTTACTTTCTGTTTTGAGAAAGGTTTTTAGCTCCCATGCTGGAGTGGTTTTTATTATGTAGATAATTTTAAGCAAGTGTTCACTATCAAATATATATGAAATGCATTTCTACCCTTTTCAGTACTTTATAAGCTCTCAAGCTTTCCTAAGACACCAAGCAGTATATAAGGATTATATTTTGTGATGTTTACCTTACTCCTGCGTTGTTACATCTTTGCACCATATTAGCGAATGAATTTTCATCCCCAGATCTAGTGGTAAGGGCGTAACTTATAGGTTGGTACCTTTCCCACCATGGCCTGTTTCCAATAACTGTATTTTCACTGGGAGGTGAGACCTAAAACAATAAAGTATTTAAAGAAGGTTATACAACTACTGGACTGTAAGACAATGATATACATCAATCCCACAGAATGTTTTTTATTATAAGTAACTAAATGACAACCAATTATGGTCATAGAGCCTAAAAATAGACTATTATACAACCCAAGTCATAACAACACTTTTCTTTGGTTTCTATACAATCTACATATAATAGGCAACAAGGAAGACGACCTAAGCTGGTACTGAAGAATTCACCTTGGAGATTCGCCATTAAGTCTTATCTTTTGAGACATATCTCTGTATATTTGAGTAAACACATGTTGTAGCGACACGTTCGGCTTTTGTTAAACACACTTCACAACATTTAGAATAGGCAGGTTTATTTGCCTTTGGTATAATTATACAATATCGCAACAGACGCCAAACAACAAACAACGGTTTAAATTGTTGAAACAACTTGGAAATGGAACAAGTTTTTTGAAACAGGTATTTTGTGGAACTGAATCAGACTGTGCCTGTTATTAAAAAGTCACTGTTTTACCCTTTCCTAGCTGCGAGTAGGGATGGCAACGATATATTGATGTTGTGTAAATATCGATATATTCCACAAATATATCGATATATTTTATTCGATATTTTACTACCGATATTTTTAAAAACATTAACTTATTGAGCATGCGCTCATGCGCATGCGATTTGCATAGTTTTAGTTTTGACAGTGACTAGCAGTACATCGGATGTACGCGCTTTATTTGTACATCGGTCTCCTTTTGACAGAGTAGGTGAGCTGTGTCTAGGCCGTTGGTTAACAAATCTCTGAAACGAACAATGACCTGCCTAAAATCACCTTATTTTGCGCAACGCACACAGTGACGTCACAAAGTAAGGTGCCGGGGCATAAAAATCTTTAAAATCATAGATATAGAATAATGACAGCACTAAAAGTGTCTGCACTTTTGCGTTACTCGAGCTAGTCAGTTTCGGTGATAATAACTACCATTTGTCATATCACAAAATAGTGTTTATATCGTCTCTACCTACTTCATTCTTTATCTTTAACGTTTCCAACTTTCCAATCAAGCTCTCAAATTCAAAAAATCAATCTGAGACAATTTTAATTGTGTATTGTATTTATTAAAAATTAAGTTTAAATAAAACTGCGACTTTAATAAATTGGAAGTGTATGTGACAATCTCTTGGGTCTGAGACAGGCCAAGATACTTTTGCGCGAATATAACCAGAACAGATCGGAAGCCTGCATCTGCCTGATCAAGAACAGGCTACGTATTGTAACAGGGATCCTTACCGGGCATTGCCGACTAAAAAGACACCTAAATAAACTGAGATTAGTAGAGGATAGTGAGTGCAGATTCTGTGAGGAGGAGGCCGAAACCTCCATTCACATCCTAACTGAATGTATAGCACTCCAGAATCCAAGGGCACTATATCTAGGAGGATATCAAATAGAAGAGGAAGATTTACCTAACTTGAAGCCACCTCAAATCCTACACTTCCTTGAGAAAATAGGATTGGAAGGGTATAGGACTTGAGACATTTCCTTAGTGCATTGGCGACAGAAGGGGGCACAATAGATCTTTTAGGTCGCAGTGTATTAACACCCCATTCCCAACATAACATAGTGTCAATTCAACGATTGTTACCGAAAAACGTAGCAGGTAAAAAAATTACTATTATTTTTGAGGTTATGTTTGTTTATTTCCATCTCGATTAAAACTGGCTTTTCGAAAAAGTGTTAAGAGGCAAAAAAATTTAAAAACTGATGTATTAAACCAATGGTATTACAATATTAATTTAATTGTAACACAGAAAAGATTAGTGGGTTTTAGGGGTTCAATACCCCCCTAAAATTTTTATGGGCTGTACAGATTTCGTGGTTTATATGAAAAGGATGCTCTTACGATAAGAAAGCCATATATTAATTTATATTACAAAATGTAAACAGTTCATGAAATATTGAAAAAAAAAAATCATAAGAACCCTTTCTGTGTGTGGAAAATGTCTATTTTTACCACAAACTACTTGTAGAATGGAAAATAGAGTTTTATTATACAATATGCTTATTTATGACAACTTTAGATACACAGAGATGGATTCATGAACTAACTATACCCAAATCTTTATTAACGATCTCTTGTTCAAAGATAATATATGATAAATCAATTGATTAAATATTAAATTGTGGTTTTTTTAGAATTTTACCTTGATATTTAAATGGAGGAAAATTTTTTCAATTATTTAATAATGCTTGTTTGTGATGTATTAGTCTATTGAATTATGTATGCAGTTTAGTCATTAAATGTCCTTCTTTTAATACAACCTAATTTTAAACCTTGAAATGGGTAATTTATAATATACTGCATAACAGATGATAACAACTGGATTTTTTTATGTAATATGCATTAAATGTAATGTAAAATTGCACCTATACAAAAATAAACTAGATCAACACGGTTCCCAAACTGTGGTACGCGTACAATAGGTGGGACGTGAGGCCCCCAAAGCTGGTATGCTAACAAATAATGAACGTGTCTTTAAATAAAATAAACACTGGCTGAATTTTCTCTTTTCTTATATTACTGAGGCCCTTCCTATGGGGCCTCAGTATTGCATTCGTGCAGACGAAAAAATTCCTCTTGTCGTCTGTATGTATGTATGCCGGCACGATAACTCTAGAACGAAAGTTCTGTTTAAATTGCGGTTTTGATTTTCTTGAATAATTATTTCTAACTTAGAACCCTATTGATTTTCAGAATTTTCGGTTCATCCTAACTACTTTAATAACAATTTTCTTAAAATCCACCTATGCATTCCTTATGTGACAATTTTAGGAATTTCAATTATTTTTATCGTCAAAATTCCTAACATTCTTTACATTCCATAAATTGCAAACATTCTCTAACGACCTGTCAAACAACAGCTGTTGATAGTAAAGGTGAAATTTCTAAGGCGGGTTGCGACCTTCATACTTGCAACCATATAGCCATTTTGGAGGCTATTTTCATTCGAAATTACTCGCCAAGCCTGCCAAATTATGAAAAATATACAATTAGTTTCTTAAAAATGACTTTTTTCGGGTGGTGCTATTAAGCGTACTACTATTTCGCCCCTAGCCACAAAAACACCTTCATCAAATTTACTGGTTCTCTGTCGCAACCCCGTAGAATAATCAACCGGTTATTTTATTTGGCAAAAATCAGAATAATGCTTGGCTGTGCCTGTCAAGTATCAAGATGTCAACTGTGTTATGTGAATGGCTCTTAAATGTCAAATTATTTAAAAATTTATACTTCTTTTAATATTTATTGCAAATAATTTGTATTGTATCTCAATTCAGGCTTTCCATAAATAAAGGTACAGCAAGACAGATAATATAATGTTCTTATACAAAGTACTTTTTTATTATATAAAAGAGAGGCCATTTCAAATTTGGATCAATTATGATATCGAGGTACTTTGTTGTGTTTTTCATTTTAATTATAAAGTTTTCATTTATTTGTATGTTGAAAGAAGGCTTTTGTAAATTACATTGCTCTCTATGGATCTACTTTTACACAAAAATAGTTTTGTGGCTATAAGTTGCTATAACCTATCGTCGCAAAACTATTAATAATTTAAACATAGTAAGTAGTATAAATATAACATCAAGTAATTTTTTAAAATAAAGTACATGATCTAAAAACAAATAATCTATAATAAATGCGGATAAAACGAGGGATAAAATAACAATAAATTAAGGGAAATACTTAAAAAGCGCAGGTTTAAAGAATATTATCACAAGAAAGTATATCCGTTTTGTTTATTTATCAAGTATTGTTTGAGGTTACTTTTGAATACATTTATTGCTTTTTTTTTAATTTCTGTAGACAGTCTATTAAATTTTTTAATCCTTTAATAAAAATTGTATTTTGGGAACTTTTAGTGATGGCTTGCCGTACATGAAAGTCAGATTAGTTTCTTGTATTATAGTTGTGATATTGCGAATTATATTGAATTTTTTCTAATAGATCTGATGCGATGGTACTATGTCATTTTTATTTTATAAATAAATATCAGTCATGTACTGAACATAATTCTGAACTGAAAGCCAATTTATTTCTTTTAACATAGTTGCAATACTCATCCTTCTGTCCTTTATTAATAGAATATAAATAGGCGAAGTAAGAAGCCCAAATATTTTACATTAGCAGGCTTAAGAGGTAAAGGAGCCAATTATTATTGGATAAATTGCTCGAACAAGTTTTTAAACCCTTATCAAAAGGCGATATAGAATGGTGTTTTAAAAATCAAGACTTGTGAAAATCATCACATGGTTTCTAAGTAATGCCAATGCTTCGCAAACCAAAAAATTGAACGTGCTAATACTACTATCCGCTTTCGGTATTTCGTTAAAAGTTAAATCATTTCTCGTTTTTGTTACGCTACGAGTTTACCCTTGTGGGCCTCAGTCTCGATAAGGTGGGAACCATCATTTTAGCGTCTCTCGAATCTGAACTTAAGTTTGCAAGGTCAAATCGATTTTTGGTAGATGACAAAATTAGGGCATTGATGAGGAAATGTCAAATGATAGTGTTTCAAATAAAAATCTACAGTTAGCTTGTAATTTGGAAAATGTTGTTACTGAACATGGACTAAGTATGAAACCTAATGCTGAACATTTTTTTTAAATACTTTAAAGGTATCATTTTGAAATTGTTTGGATACGCAACCCTTTTGTTTTCGAGAATATTTCTGATTCACTGATAAATTATGAAAAAGAGTCTTAGATGGATCGAAATAGAATGTTGACTCACATTTACAAAGGAAATTGACTACAATTGAACCTAACATCTCTAATTGCATATATGCAGACCCATTATTCCCATTGATTTTATATGTTCTAAAATATCTGTAAATTTTGTTAATAAAAGGTACCTAATGCTTTAAAATAAAAATTACTTTATTACTAGAAAAATATGGTGCAGGGTTTTATTAGTATTTCTTTTTTAACTGACT